GCTATCTGAATTTTTTTGCGCTTTTATTATTTGAAGTTCTTATAGAATATTCGTCATTTAATGTAGAAGCTTTTTATATAGTACTTCAGTAATTTACAAAAAATATTACTGAAAGTATTCTAATAATTATTATTTTCATAATATAAAATGTATTAATTAAATTATTTCGAAGATTATATTATTTATAGAATATTTGTATTTTTTGTGTGGTTTATGCAAAAGTTCGTGTTTTTTTTTTTAACTAATTTTATATTAGCTAATTCGCATCTACTTATTATATAGTGACAATTTGAATGCATTTAGTTTCAGTGTATATTTTTAACTTTCCGTAGGGTTATTGTAATCGTTCAAAAATCGCAATCGACAATGTTTGCACATCTTCACGTTTCGAAGGTTTCTGAACATTCTGAAATACAATAGAAAAAATGGATATGTGTGCCTGTGTATTTGTGTTATATTTCGTGTATGAATGTGATAAAATTTTTCGTCCACAATTTCTTGAGTAATTCAAAGAACATTCGATTCCTACTGATGGGGAGACGTATTGATTAGTTTTTAACAAAGACAGGTCGGAGATACGGAGCAAAGATAGAAACCGAGTTTTTAAAGGAACGAAAAATCCGATTTAAATGATTCAAAAAAGTTTTACTTTTTTGAACGACAAAATTGTTTTTCAAAAAAAAAATTAATATTTTTTTAATTTTCAAATTTTTTTTAATATCGAAAATTCGAATCGTATAAATAATTTTAACTTTGCCATTCAGTTTATGCAATTCTTAGAAATAATTTTCAGGCATATTTAAACGTCATCGTCCAATTTATAAGCACTTTTATTTTGTTTATAAATTCGAATGTAAAAGTTATAGTATTCATCATAATATATTTGAAAGCATTCAATATTATTCGAATATTTCATTAGAATACGGGAAGTTCCAGCAATTTGCCATTGAACACAATACTCCACTAGTTTTAGGAATTTAATTAATAAGTAAAACTAATAATGTCTAAAAATTTCAAATCTCATAAGTTTAGACATATAACTATAAAATAAATATTTTTGCATTCAGAATTTCCAAAGACTCGTTTCGGGCGTATTGCGCACCGCTTTGCGTTCGAACCAACTCTATGCAATTGCAGAACTATTAGCGTTACGCGCGGGTGTACTGGCCCCGGGTATTTTCAATTTTCTAATGTGTTCCACAAAATTGATTTGGACAATATTTGCAGTACTAAAACAAAAAACATTAGGCTTTCGAATAATGCTAATTAGAAAGTGGTCCAACTAAACGCACTACCCGAAAACATGAATTGAAAAATTATTTTGTCTTTTTCAGCTAATAATAAACGATTTTTTGGCATCAATTGTTCTACATAATGTGGTCTGAGTCAATGTGAGTAGAATCACGTAAAAATTTTTTCGATATCTTTCATGGTTACGCGAAAAAGTGAGTTTGAAAGAAGGGGACACTTTGGCATATTTTCAATGATATCACGACCATAAGATGAGGTACAAAGTTGAAAATTGGTATATCGGTTTTTATCAAATAGACCTATAAAATGGCGTGTAAATTATTTAAATACCAGGGTGGGGCCGATTCTGTATGGCAATGCGCCCATACCCTTTGGTTTACATTCCTATGGTTTCCGTACCAATACTTACGCGTTAGACGGCGACGCGGCGCTTACGCGCTTTGATATTTCGTCTTTATGCAGTTAAAGCAATACGATTGCTTTGAAAAAAAGTTTAGATCTTCCAAAATATGTCAAAATAAAGAAAACATTTTTTTTTCAAAAAAAAAAAAATAAAAAAAAATTTTTTTTTTTTAAAAGTAATTTTTTGTCCAATTTATAGTTTCTCAAAAATCTTATTTTTTCAAAGTAAAATTTCTTCAAAAATGTTAATCGTTTTTAAAAAAAAATAATAATTTTTGGTACGGGAAGTTCCAGCAATTTGCCTTAAGGCACGATGCCTTAATTGCCTTAAGACAGAATTCCACTTACAGCTAGTTTAAATAACAACACGGTGCAGTAATCTTTATCTTTTATTCAATATCTCACCAGTCCGTCTCTACGCGTTCACTCTATACAACCCTCCGTTACCAACTTCCTTCTTGCATACATTCACACTGTTCGTACAGTCACTAAAGCCAACTACACACACAAACTCAAGTCTTACCAACTGCACGGGACTGTAATGGTCCGCGCCATATTCAAACATCCATTCAAACATTCACACAATATATTTCGCTAACAATATATAGATTTCAGTATGTTAACCGCCCATTATCTAAATATAAACTAGCGGTGTATGGGTATGGCATCGTGCCTTAAAGAAAATGGCTGGAACTTCCCGTTCCAGAATTAAATGATGGAGAGAAATAAATAGGCAGTCATACAATATTGATCAATGATTAATAACAATTGTTTTAAACATTTTCTAACAGATAATTATAATTACTATATATTTTATCGTTCATAAAATGTACAGTAACGATCTTATCGCTCGAAGCACTTGAGAAAGTTTACATTAGCAAGAAGTGACGAATGAATCCATCTATGATATATTTCTTACGATCAGAATAACACATTTGAAATATATACATTTTCAAACTGAATTGTAAATTTGAAATTCATATTTGAAGCATAAAACTTTGTATATTTTTGAAAATTTAAAAAAAAACCTGAAAATTTTGAAATTTGCTTGAACCGTATAAGTAAACTTTAAAAATTAAAAAATCTTGGTACGGAACCCAACAAAATTGTAACAAAATGAGTACTCATTTTTAAAAACTTCATCAAATATCTGATAATTTGATGTGCATATGTCTAATGATCATTTTTGACCGCCAAGTATCATTTTTTTTTTAACTTTTTCCTCTGTATTTTCTAAACCGCTAGATCAGCCTAAACAAAAATTTCATCAATTCTTTTCGTTTTTTGAGTTATTAAAATAGGGTACTCTGATCTCTCAGAAACTAAGTTACCGTTTTTAGTACTTTTTTCTCCGTATCTTCGAAACGACTGGACCTGTCTTCACCAACAACTAATCAGCACGTCTTCTCATCAGTAGGAGTCGAATGATTTTGAATAATTCAAATCGGTTGATTAGTGCGCCCGAAATCGTGGACGAAAAATTGTATCCACACATACATACACACACACATACATCCATTTTTTCTAAGGTATGCCAAAATGTTCAGAAGCCTTATAAACGTAAAGATATGCAAAAATTTTCATTTTCGATTTATTAGCATATTTAGATTTATTTACTTACTCTACGATTTTGCAAGAGGGACGTCTAGCCGTTTTCGAAGTATGGAGCACAAAAGTGTAGAAATTGTCATGCGATTTCTGAGAGAACGGATCTCCGATTAGATTAATTCAAAATACATTTTGCTTGTATGAATGGTGTGAAAAAAAATGCTTTTACAAAAAATTTCCAAGTTTTAAAAATTTAAAAAAAAACAATATTTCAAACAAAAACAAAGTTACAAAAAATTCAAATAGTCGAATTTTTTCATAATTTTTATCACGATTTTGAAAAAAATTCAAAATTACCAAAAAATTGAACAAATTTCTAGTGAACATACACAGAAGTTATTTGTACAATACGTTCTTCGCCCAATTTAATAAGCACTCATAAATTTACAGTATTTATAATAAACTAGAGAACCTGACGAACTCCGTTTCGCCACCAGATGGTTTCGTGAGAAAGATGAAGAAATTTTTTGTTTGTTTTATATTTGAAAAGGAAAAATTAGATTTTATTATACAACAGTAATGAAAGTGAATCCGCTCATTGAAGTGCTCTTTGGTAAACCGCATTTTTTGTTTTTTGGTCTGACGTTAACACAAACAAAGCGGATGGTTTTCCAACTCGTGAACAGGCAACGTATAACTGCCCATGTGAAAAACAATGATTTTCTAAATAATCTATTTGAAATTTATCCCGCAAACACTAAGCGATTGGCCTTGCGACTTGTTATTGCAAACGCAAGGCGAACTGGAAATTGCAATCGTTTGAAGTCAAACGGAAGACCAGTCAGAATCATTGGTATGTCACCAATTCGCCAGCAAATTTTGATTGAATGGTGAAATTCAGTGCGTGTACATCATTATTCTTTGCGGCAAGAATTGCTCGTTGACTTAACCAAGCATAATTCTGATAATTCTCACTAATGTCATTACTCGAATTTTTAATTACGGTGCGCGAAGTTCCAGCAATTTGCATTAGGGCACGATGCCATGCACTACTAATTTTCTTAGCTATAAACCTTGCGGAGCCCGAGACCTTTCCAACGAATGCAAAATTGTCGAAATCGGTTCGTGCGTTCTGGAGTTATTTCGTCGGGAAGGAAAACCCGACTTATATATATATATATATATATATATATATATATATATAGAAGATAATCTATTTGAAAATAACTTTGATGCCATTTTATAGGTATTTTTGAGAAAATTTGAAATACCAAATTTCAAATCCGCAGCTCATGATTTGGCCGAGCTATCAGTGAAAACATGTGAAAGTGGCCCCTTTTTTTCAAACTCACTTTTTGTCGGAAATATGAGAGGTATCGAAAAACTGTTAACGTCATTCCATTTACTGATCTTATCTGTGTTGTTCATAACAAATAATGAGAAAAAATTATTTGTTAGTGCGTGAAAAAGTGAATATGATTTTTCATTTTCCATTTTCTACCAGTGCGGCTCTTTGGACTACTTTTATATTAGCATCATTCGAAAGCCTGTACATTTTTCTTCTGTTATTCAAAAATTCATTTAAATGTAAGTGGATTTTGGGTGAAAAGTTCGAAAAACTTAAGTTAGCACACGCGCTGCCGGTACAAGAACACCCATATAAAGTCGCTTAGCAAGCCAATTCTGTATGGAAACACGCCCAGACCCTTTCATTAATTATTGATTATTTTCATTCCTCGAATGTTCAATTACGGTACGAAAAGTTTCAGCCTTAAGGCACCACTAGTTGAAGTACTTACCGGGTAGTTTTTCCGCAGGCACAGTTTCGAGAAACTTGAGCTTGGCAGGATGGACACGGGCCTGGATGGCACAATAATGTACAACTATGGACGCAGGGGTAAGCTCCAACACGAGCACAAACTTGACCACACGTGTGAGCACCGTCATACTTATTATAGCGAGGATTGTTAACTTTATAACAAAAGCAATAATATAAGTTTGGAACTTCAGTATAAGGATGCTGGCACGCAGGACAACGCCACTCATTTCCTAAAATAAATTAGCATATATATATATATATATATATATATATATATATATATATATATATATATATATATATATATATATATATATATATGATTGAGTTCTTGAGGGCGATACATCAAACAAAGAAAAGGCAAAGATTTATAAAATAATCTTTAATTCCAAACGTTTCGACATTCAATTTAATGTCATCATCAGTGGATCTAAAAACAGTATGAAAATTAGTATATCTAGGTAATTATAATATATGTGGATTGGTATAGTAACTATACAATAAGAGAAAAATTAACAAACAGCAACACTTAACAACAAACAAAATATAAAAGATAGGAAAGGTAATAGAGACTAGAATTAAATAAATAATTAAAAAATATAGGCAAAAATATATAAGTACACTCATATAAACCTACGCATATATACATATATATACATACACATATATACACATATACATATATATATATATATATATATATATATATATATATATATATATATATATGAGTGAGTTCTTGAGGGCGATACATCAAACAAAGAAAGTTTTCTTTGTTTGATGTATCGCCCTCAAGAACTCACTCATATATTTCAACATCAAAATTAACTACTAAATCATATATATATATATATATATATATATATATATACATATACACACACATGCAAACATATAATGCACATATACATATACAAATACAACAATATATACCTATATATGCACACATATACATGTACGACTATACATATATAAATATACGCATATACATGTATGCAACGTGCATGCATATTCACAACGACGTACATGTACATGTATTAAACATACATATACTCATACCTATCTATGTAACTATAGCTATACACGTATACATATACATATACGCATAAACATGTATATATACACATATACATACACACATATATACATATATACATATATATATATATATATATATATAAATGTATATATGTATATATGTATATATGTGTGTATGTATATGTGTATATATACATGTTTATGCGTATATGTATATGTATACGTGTATAGCTATAGTTACATAGATAGGTAGGAGTATATGTATGTTTCATACATGTACATGTACGTCGTTGTGAATATGCATGCACGTTGCATACATGTATATGCGTATATTTATATATGTATAGTCGTACATGTATATGTGTACATATATAGGTATATATTGTTGTACTTGTATATGTATATGTGTATTATATGTTTGCATGTGTGTATATGTATATTTATATGTATATATATATATATATATATATATATATATGTATATGTATATATGTGTATGTATATATATGTATATATGCGTAGGTTTATATGAGTGTACTTATATATTTTTGCCTATATTTTTTAATTATTTATTTAATTCTAGTCTCTATTACCTTTCCTATATTTTATATTTTGTTTGTTGTTAAGTGTTGCTGTTTGATAATTTTTCTCTTATTGTATAGTTACTATACCAATCCACATATATTATAATTATCTAGATATACTAATTTTCATACTGCTTTTAGATCCACTGATGATGACATTAAATTGAATGTCGAAACGTTTGGAATTAAAGATTATTTTATAAATCTTTGCCTTTTCTTTGTTTGATGTATCGCCCTCAAGAACTCAATCATATATTTCAACATCAAAATTAACTACTATATATATATATATACGAGGTCTGTTCAAAAAGTTTTCGTAATTTTCGTTTTTTTCAAAAAAATATTTATTTATTCGTCTACATTAATGTGGTCCCCTTCAAAGTAGTCCCCCCCAGATATAATACACTTATGCCAGCGTTTTTTCCAATTTTCGAAGCACCCTTGATATTCACTTTTTGATATGTCCTTGAGCGATTTTCTTCAATCGAGGAAAACCGCCGTCCTTTCATGGGTCTCTTCAACTTTGGGAATAGGAAAAAGTCACACGGAGCCGTATCTGGTGAATTTTTGCACTTTGCAACACTTTATTTCATTTTTTACGCAAAATTTAATACAAATTCTTTGACTTTTTCAATTCTTCCATTGTAAAAATCGCCGAGCTCAGAAAAACACGTCGAATCTTAGCGACTACCACAGACAAAGTAAACAGTGAATATAGCTGAAAATTTCATCATACTTTAGGGGCATGTATACCAACAGAATAAAAAAAAATTGACAATCAGACATTCCGACCCGCGTAATTTAATTTAGTAACAGGGTACTATTTGAACAGATCATGTATATATATATATATATATATATATATATATATATTGATAATGATTTTCAGCCCGTCGTCGAAATAAAAAACAAATAAATACACATCTTTATTTATAATATACGTTTCGACACGGATTGTGTGTCATCATTCAGCAATTTTGTTAACAGTATCTAAACATATTTATAAAGTTTTAAATAAAAATTTAATTTTAATTTAAAATAAAAGAATATACATACCACTCTAGGAAAAACCATTTTGTAAATAAATACATATAGAAAAAAACAACATACATTACATATAAAATAATTAAAGAATACATACATACACACACATCCATTTTTGCTGATGTATGACAAAATGTTCAGAAACCTTCAAAAAGTGAAGAAATATAACATTTTTAATTTCGATTTTTGAACGATTAAGTACATTTATTTTAACGTTAAATCATATTTTTAACTTACCCTACGGTAAGTTAAAAATATGATTTAACAGAAAAATATATCTTATATATAAAAATGGAGCTCTCTTTCAAATGTCCGAATAAAACTCGAAAACGGCTGAATCGATTGGGCCAGTCTTAGTCTTGAAAAATTCGTGCCAATCCAGAGAAAGTCCAAAAGGTGAGAAATTATTTCAAATCCGCGTAGAAACTTTACATTTTTAATTTGAAAATTTTTGTTGAAGAGTAATTTAAATAAAACAATTGACGGTGGCAATTTCGTGAAATGTCAAACGCTTTTGACAGATGATGTTCAATTACGTTTAATAGGATGTTTTACGCGAATATTATTTAATTATGATAAATTTGTAGTAAGTAGTTTTGTTTGTAGTTTTATTTATATACAAAAACGTTAGTAAACGGGCAGAAAGTGTTACTAGAGACTCAAAATATCAACTTTTTTGAAATGTTAATATGAAAATGCACTTTTTGGCATATTTTTCTTAAACACTGTGCTCTGAAAGATCTCATTTGTATAATTATATACTCATTGGTATTTATAAAACATTTTCTAGGTTATATTATTTTTTATTTATGTTATTTAAATTCAGAATCTAAATTTGGTATCGATCAAATGAAAATTTTGTCGAATAACATTTTTCCAGTTATAATTTCCCAGAATTTATCGCAGAATAGATGAAGGTCCGGGATTAAAAAGGTCCACCACCGATGTGCCAAAAATCAGTAAAGTTAAGCATTGTTTAACAACAATATTTGAAAGTAGAGGAAAAAAGATGTATAGCCAGCTACAACCTTGATTAGAAAACGATAATCTTTGAAATGGGGGAGTTAAACGGTAATCTTTGAAAATCCATAATAAAAGTATTTTCTTCCGTTGGTAGTTTTAGCATTAGTTAAAAATGTAATTATTTTGTAAAATACCTTTAAAATTATAATAAGGCTTTAAACCTTTTGCCACATGCCCGTTACAAGTTACCCTACGTATAGGATAAAAAGGTCTAGATAACAAATTTTTGAAAGACATCAAAAAAGCATTTCTACAATGATGAAGTAGAAGTCAGTTTACTGAACGTAGTCAGATAATTGTTCGTTTGATATGTGTTATTTGTTGTGATATAACTGCTATGGTTTTCACAATATAGTTTATATTTGCTCAAAGTCAAATTGGACCTTTGTGTCTCGCCCTGCTTTACATATATACTTTTTATTAAATTTACTTTAATTCATCGAATGTAACTTGAAACTTTTCAAAAAGCAGAAATACTTAGTTCATTTTTTATCTCTCCTCGCAAAAATTTGAAAATTTTGTATAAGCTCAGTAGTATTATTTACAATTATACACAAAATCCAGAATCCAAAAAGAATCTGAAAAACTTGAAACGTAATTAATAAGCCGAAAGACCAAAAAAGACTCGGATTGGATTATACGATGTTTTCTATAGAAAGTGTTTAAAACCTGCAGTTTGATTGTATTGACAAAATATAGACAAACTAATGGGGTTTATTGTTTTTATAATACCTAATTATATACAACATTCAAACAACACATCCTTATGCATTTAAAGTATTATTATTTTTGATTCTCTAGAAATGGTTTAGAATATACCTTATTTAGCAAAAGAACGTTTGCCGGGTCAGCTAGTTTAAAATAATTTCGTTCTGTGTCAAAAAAATGTCAACTAGCTAAGTAGACTCATTAAGAAATGGCTTTATGAAGAAACTGAAACCAAATGTAACCATATGTACAAATATTAGCTATAATTTATTGATAAAAAAGAAATAGGCTTGAAATAACACAACGTAGAAATTTGAGTTTAAAGCTCAGTGGTAAAATAAAAATGATTCCTTTAAATTTACTAAGTTTATTTTAAATGTTACTTGTTTCGCTTTCCAAGAGCAAGAGAAATTATTTCATATATTTTTACATTACCAAAGATTTAAGATGGCGGATACATAGGTATATGGTAGGAGAAAGCGACACTGACAGTAGTGGCGCGATATTTGAATCATAAAATACATATTGCATTATATATATATCAAATTTAGTAATATAATTTTATCCACTCATTAATTTTAAGTTTCCGAATATTGTGGCTTATTCCGAAATTTTAATTATGATGTTTAATAACAATTCAATAGTGATTTTATCTTAAAAGTTATCATTCACATTTTTTCAGGGACAAAAAAAAATATATCGGGGGGGCATAAAGTTTTTAGATCTCAAGGTGGGGCGAGCCATAAGAGCAACGAACATTTCGAATGCAAAAGTTTAAGATGAGTTTCTATGGGCTATGATGACGGTTGGTAACATAGATGGCAAAAAAGTGT